TCCGTAGTCGTGCACTTGCAAGTGTTAAACTGGGTAGGTGTGCACTTGCAAGTGTGCAACTCCTCGGTTGAACACTTCCTACACAGTAAGCGTCCAATCTATAAGGAAGTGTTCAACCGAGGAGTTGCACACTTGCAAGTGCACACCTACCCAGTTTAACACTTGCAAGTGCACGACTACGGAGTTGCACACTTGCAAGTATTTAACTTGCAGTTGCACACTTAGAAGTGTTGAGCAGTTGAACACTTAGTTTATCAGTGAATTCAAAAAAATATCACGCAAAGAGACACATCAAGAACAAGAACATTGCAGCGAGCAGGCATGAAATGCCTACATGGCGTCGAAAAGCAAATTGTACAAGTGAGAGGGCGCTAGGACGCGGCGCAAACTTCTATATTAAAAAAAATATTGCTCGAAACTGTAAAATAGAAAATTTTCTTTACTAAGGGTCCGTTTATGGTTAACAAGAATTGTTAACGTTTTTGTACAGCTCAAGCTCAAGTAGCTTCAGCAGTACACGCTAAAAGAAGCAACGGACAGTCCGCCGGCAGCGCGCTCTATCGGCGGCTACCGGCTCTGCCCATACCGGGAACGCCACGCCGAGCCCCCCCAGAGCTATATATAAGAGAGACGGTGGGGAGCGGGAGGGGAGGGGGTCTCTTCACCCTCTGGCAGAGAGCCCGTCTGTAGGAACTGTCTAAAAATAATTGCCCAGAAAAACCAGTCTGTAGGAACTGTCCAAAAATAATTGTCCAGAAAAACCAGTCTGTAGGAACTGTCTAAAAATAATTGTCCAGAAAAAGGATGCTAATTCGTCACTTGCTGGATTCAAATCTGCGTCCGGTCACTGAAAACTGGGTAAGGTGTCGTGCTCGAAATGGGTGTGACAATTTTGCCTCGCTCAATCAGAGCGATGACTATAGGGCTTAGGGTAAGTCGTATATCGCTTATTTTCTATTCTTGGGTTGTAACAGTGTTTTCCAGGGGCCATTTTGGATGAAAACTCCTGGAAACATTTTTTAAGTTTTTTCCTTAAACGTTTTCGTAACCCTACCTTGCCTGTTATTCTGGCCTGCCATAAGAGGTGGTTTGCATGATACGAATTGTTTTTATATTGCTGTAAATAAGCAACCTTTTCCCTTCCAATAATAATTCGTAGCTCGAAAACCGGCTGAGATAGAGCCTTCTCCTTAAAATTTCTGCCGGTTTGCATGATATGAATTGTTTTTCTATTGCTGTAAATAAGCAACCTTTTCCCTTCGAATAATAATTCGTAGCTCGAAAACCGGCTGAGATAGAGCCTTCTCCTTAAAATTTTCACCCAAAGGGCCGTAAAATTTCGTGTTTAGTCAAGAAAAAAATACGCCCAAAATTGAGGTTTTTAAAACCACCTCTTATGGCAGGTCAGAATAACAGGCAAAGGTAGGGTTATGAAAACGTTTAAGGAAAAAACTTAAAAAATGTTTCCAGGAGTTTTCATCCAAAATGGCGCCTGGAAAACACTATTACAACCCAAGAATCGAAAATAAGCGCTATACGACTTACCCTAATAAGGCTCACCCTATGTGAGTCATATGCATGCACCGAATTCTCATTTTGGAGGAGTAAGATTTCCCTGACTTCACCCAATTGCAGTGAGGAACCTCACTCTCATTGGGTGAAGACCGCAAATCCTGACTCAATTTGAGTGAGAGTCAGATCCCCGAGGGGGAAATCACTAGGGTTCGTAGCGTACGGACTATTTCGTGGTATTTCTCCTGCCATTTTGGTTATTTCTCCTGCCATTTCGGCTTTTTTTCGCCTATTTCGGATTATTTCAGGGTATTTCGCGGTATTTCGGAGTATTTCAGGGGTATTTCGCGACTATTTCACCGACTATTTCGCGTCTATTTCGTCTTTATTTCGCTCTATTTCGCCTCTATTTCGCCTTTATTTCGGACTATTTCGGGGGAAGAACTGATCTCGCTCTCCTTAGAGTAAGATATGACTCTAGCATTTTCAGTGGCTTTGATATGTGCAGAAAAACGCGTCTTTCTATGGACAGTAAAAGTCCTTTCAGATTTTGTGTGGGCGTCGTCGAGGGGAAGAAAAGCGGAGGGCAGAGCAGCTGGCGTTGGAGGGCAGGGCAGGGCCGGGGCCTGCCCTAACTGGTACAGCATTGTGAGGAAGGGCACGGAAGGGGCCTAGCGCGATGGGCACAAAACTCAGGCACTCCAACACCATTTTTCTAGCGCCAAATAAATTGTTTTCTGCTGGTGTCCGCCTGGTTGCCTTGCCGCCACTTGCCGCATACACGTTTTGTTCTGCACATACCTTTGTTGATCCCCATAAATAGCCGAGTCCAAAGTTCCACGCTCCATCTTCATGCCGATGGTCGCTGCATCTGTAGCCTGAATCTATTGTTGCGTCCCGCCCAATAGCTCCTTGCAGGCCGTCCTTTCCGTTCTGCCCACGACCGCCAGCGCCCCCACTCGCGCTCAGCTGGAGGCGATGCCCGTCGAGAACCTCGTCGCCCAGCGCCACGATGGAGCCACCCGCGCCGCCAGGTAGCCCAGCCAGGCCGTCGCTCCCGGGACTATACCACTTAGGTGGCGGGCCACAGTCCGCGCCAGGGAGACCGTCTACGGAGAGCGTGTGATCACCAAGCACCTGCCACCTGAGTGACAGTAAAAAGTAGAATTTTAAGACATTACCCTTAGCTGTCTCTACCAGAAGGAGAAAACGCGTGCCCTGCTTTTCAGTGCACTGGAGCAGTGGCTCTAGTCGATGTGTGGGTTGTAGCGACACTAGATAAAGGCGACCGTCGGCAGTACGCACAGCAGCGTCGTTCAGCTCGGTTCAGCTCCATCTCCTCTCCCCCCCCCCCCCCCCCCCCCCCCCCCCCCCCCCCCCCCCCCCCACTCCCCCCGCTCGGCTCAGCAACGCCTCCGCTGGAAGCTTTCAGGCGTGTTCAAGGGCAGAGTCTCTTTCTTGCACGGTAAAAACAATTGGTCCTCACCACTAGCAAACACTGTGAAAAATAGAAGTAACGTTTACGGGAAAATTTTCCGTGAACCAAGTTGGAAAATTACAATTAGTAATCGAAAAAATACATGCAGTACTTTTCGACGTAAAATGCATTAGCGAGTAAAAAATGTGGTCTCGTAAATTTACAACTTATAAATAATAATTCGGGGTTTGTAAATTGACGACGGTATTTTTCACAGTGGATTAGCTAATTTTGGGGATAGAAAGCCCTAAATTTGCTGTGGCAGCTAAAAGTTGGTTGCCACAGACAAGAGTGCACAGCAAAGCTGTCGCTGCAGTAGCCAATCGGTTCATTCTCACATTAATTTGGGTGTTTCGCTGTCAGAACAAACCGATTGGCTCCTGCAGCGACAGCTTTGCTGTGAACTCTTGTCTGTGGCAACCAGCTCTTAGCTGCCACAGCGAATTTTTATAGACAGTCCCTTGTGGTCTGTCTCTACCCGAAGGTAAAAGTATCCAGTTTTGATAAAGATAGCCGATTAACGTTCCAGTTATGATAAGCCGACTGACGATGATAATATGGGTACATGTCAGAAAACTGTTCACATTCGGCTCGCGGATTTTGAAGAAAGTTATTTTGTAAACCCTTTGCAAAGTATAAGGATATGCACTTTATGCGTTTTTAAACTGTCAATTATGCTCTAAAAAAAGGCACTTTTATGCCCTGATTATGCTTTAAAATTTTCCAAATATACCCTCTTTATGCCACGTGTTCTACCTAATTATGCGTTTTTATGCTTTTTGGTGTTTTTTTCCTAATGTTACTGCTTTTAAAATAGTTTTTTCTTTGCGTTTCCTTCTAAATTATGCTTTTATATGCTTTTTGCGTTCACATTGGTGCAAACATAAACATTGATATAGGAATGCGGTATGGAAGGAAAGACCAAAATTAGTTAGACAGTTTCAAATGTTGGATCAAAATTTGCGGTAAAATGCGCAAAATATCAAAACCAATTGCAAAATACAACCGTTTTCACGCCTTTTCCTAGCAATTATGCTCAAATTATGCGAAAATGCCTATCCATGCTGCGATTTTTAGAAATTATGTTTTTTCTATGCTCTTCGGATTCGGATCCAGGGGTGACAACAGTGCTAACCAGTTGATTCCCCGTCCATTTTAGTGAAGTTTGGAAAATTATGCGATTATGCGAAAGCATAAAGTGCACATCCTAAGCAAAGTACCACACTTTCGGATACTAATAGACAGAAGAAGTCATTTGCTGCTCAAAAAGGCTTGTCGCCAATGGTTTCTTCATCTTTTTATTTGATCTAGCCCTAATTTTATTGAAATGTCTACGAAAGCCTGCTGTGGTCGTCTGCTCCCAGCTGAGTTACTGTGTTAAATTACGTGTTTGGTTACATTGGCGCGAAAAAGGATGGGGAGGGGGAAGGGGAGGGGGGGGGGGAGGGAGCGAAGGGGTTTGGGTGACGTTGGTAAAAAAATGCCTCGAATCGAACCGGCTCCGATTTTGGTAAAAGTGCGTACAGTGCGAACATTTGAAGCGCCCCCCCCCCTCCCAACACATACACACACATTTAGAAAAACTAATACATATGTTTGCAAGTTTCTCTCATTGAACTAGTTTGGACGCTCTTAAAAACATATGTTTACAAAATTACATTCTTATAATGAAGGTGCTCGTTTAATTCAACGAAGTCATAGTGATGAACATGCTATGCCATGTAAAATTATATCCGGTCAACTGCGACCCACAACCATGGCTACAACTTTCAACCTCATCGGTAAATCTGCTCGTGTCAAAGTTTAAACTTTTTGCATGTTTTTAAAGTAATCTCTGAATCTAAACTAAATATATACAATACTTTGTTCATATCAAATCATTTACAACCTGTAAAAGGTTTGGCTGAAGTGTCAGAAATAGCTCCAAGGAACGTTAAGTTATGCTTTCTTATTTTGTTTACATTGGACCAAAATTTATGAAAGACCGGTCCTTTTCGCTATCAATTTTATTTTCTGTTTCAAAAGTTTTGTTACGAAAAGTATGTTTTTCATGTCATTCTGATGTGACACCAGTGACTGATGATGGATTTAGTCTCAGTGAAGCCAGTGAAGCTGAAGCCACCCCGTCATTTGTTTTGGGTAATCTGATTGGTTGCTTGGTCATTCAACCAATCAGATTGCCCAAAACAAGTGACGGGGTGGCTTCAGCTTCACTGGCTTCACTGAGACTAAATCCATCATAAGGAATGAATTTGGACATAAAGAATATGTTACGAGAAACCAAACTTCTTACTGATGCACTCACCCATCTGATAATTGATGTAGTCGATTCAAAAATCATACTGCAATGGAACGAGAGGAAAAAGGCACTTCTCTGCCATAAGAGACTCCTGGTTTATCGACTCAAATAGTAATAAAGTAATTTTGGAACATCCCTAACCTCCTAACCTCTCCTACACCTCTAGATGAGGATTTACAATACAACCTAATTTCAATAAATACACTTTCCACATCAATAAAATTAACAGTCCGCATTGTCTAGCCTTGGTTTCTGACGTAAAAAAGCGTTGAAAATACGACATGTTTGAAAAACACTTTTTCACGCAAGTCGTCGTCAGAGAAGGTGGCGAGTGTTGTGTCGCGCCCTCCGCCGTAGCAGACGAGACGAGTGGCCGCCGGTAACTCAACTCGGAGTCGAGTGGTGATTACATTGGGAATTACAGGGTGGCGATTACACAGCTAGATAAATATCCGTTTTAAAACATTAAAAACCAATGCGAGTCAAAACTTTACCCCCCTATGTTAGTGCCGTCGATTACAAACGGTGTGGTATATTATTTATCGGTGGGCCTGACCTATTTTTGTTCCCATTGCCGTTTTGAAGATGTGGTAATTACGTGTATGGCGACTGTAACGCAGGCACACTCCTTTTTCTTTTCATTATAAAAATATTAAACGATCGAACTTTGACGTATTTTATACCATGAGTGCATTATTTAGTTTATATACTTTATTGTAGTGGACGCACATATGCCTCTTCCAACCGTTTAGGTTATAAAATCTGATCATTTAGTTACCTCGGTCGTATGTGCGAGAGGTTTTAGGAAATGTCAGGGACAAAAGTACTTCTTTTTATAATGACTGAAGAAGTGAATTTGAGAACTTGACCCGGTTGTTTTTAATAGCTACAACAGTTAGAACAGTTAGCTGCACCAAAATAATAATGGGACCACTACTAATCAAAGGAAATAAAAGGAAATTGCAATTGAATGTTGAGGGTGGGCTTCAGGGACAGTGTCAATGGAACGTTACAGGACACATTTCATTCAGTTTCATAGCTTAGGATGAGTTAAAAGTGACAAAATAGCACAACAAATTGTGGAACCGAGCTTAAAGTACAACTCTAATGGAAGTTTTGCATCGATTGGTGCTGTAAGTAGCACCAAATACCCTCAGGACAGAGATGTGTATAGTTTTCTGACATGTACCCATATAGATTCTCTGTGGGGGCAGGCGTTTTCTCCGTGACTTTCTGTTCGTCCCCGGTAGCAGTCCGCTGTCATCGCCCTGGTTGTGTTATAAACACAGCGCCCCTCATCCCTTGCTTCGCGCCGGGTCATGGGGCCAACCAACCCCCACTCGAGCCTCTTGAGGCAAGCTGCGTTGCGCTTCGCGCCCCGCGCCGCGCCCCAGCCCCTACCCACTTATCGGCTCAGGGCGCCACATGGCCCGTCCACTTGACAAGTGATCCCCAGCCTCAAATTTTAAAGTTGAACCACAGCGCTCTGAAATATGAAATGTGCTTGTTTTTGCGCGCGCAGAAATTACGAATCCAGCAAAATTTGAATGGCGATTCTAGCATAATTTGCTGGTTTTCGTTTGTTTTTTTATATTAACCACAGCTTTCCGTAACATGAAAAAGCGCTCCTGGGTAAGGTGAAAGTATCCCGTTCTGATAAAGGTTGCCGTAGTCGGATATTGCCGATTAAAGTTCCGGTTTTGATAAGAAGATTTTCAGTCTCATTTTGATGCCTTATTAAATTTATAAATACAGGCCTTAGCGCCTGTATATTTTGAATTTGATTTTGGAGCCGGACTGTCTTGTTACCGGCCGGCAGGCCAGTTTTTTGTCTAAAACTACCCCAGTTATTAGTTGTGCGGCCCGTGTCTAAGACTGTTGGTGTGCAGGTACCCACCTGGGAGAAAAGATGTAGAGCAGAGCTGGCGATCTGACCTTGCTCTCTTCGTTGTTCAGATAGAGGTCCGCATCAATGAACAGACTATGCTCGGCTAGGATGTGAACCGCAGATATGTGCTGCTCGCAGCCAGCCCTCACTTCCTTTAGTACATCGCTCATCCAAATGTACCTGCCTCGTATCTTCAAAGACCTTGACAATTTTTAGAACAAAAAAAAACATGGTGAGTAGAAAGATTATTCTTATACTTCACTGCTCTGTCACTGCCAGAATACATTGTAATCATGAAATACTTTCACGTAAATTTTTTTTGGTACAGATTGACTCAGTTGCTCCAACAATATTCCACTGAGAAATGCAATATCGATAAATGATCGATAGTCATCGATCGAGGCCAATTAAACTCGACATCGATTCGATTTTGTCTACAAAATCGACGAAAATTCGAAATCGACGTCGATTTGAAACACAATTTTTCACTAGGTATGTCCCTCTCAAAGCCCTTCACGAAAACAAGGTCATGTTACAATTGTTACAAAAGTTACAATTGATTTTACTATTTGGGGGG